CATTGAGTATGAGGTCTTTGGCTGCTTCAGTGAGACAGAGATAAAAGTTTTCCCCATACCTGAAGTCATAATCATAGACCAGTAACTACTCCTCTCCATCATAACTCTAATGGAGGAAGAGAGAGGAGAGAGGGAGGGAGGAGAGAAAGGGCAAAAGGTCACAGATGTTATGATGAGTGTTATCACATGGACATGAAGCCACTCAATGTCACTTAGTTATTAATTAGAGCAACAAAAACACAAAGTCAAGAGTAGTTCAATTACTGATTGTAAGGAACTAAATCACTTCCTTACAATCAGTGACCTCAAGAATTGTTACATTACACATGTAAAAGGATGTACCTAGCATGCAAGCATACATGTACATGTAAAAATAATAATAATACATTATACAGTATATGTACATGTATTCCTTTATTTGACATGTGTGTCTCTCATTATGGCTGCTATATCTTCTAATGAAGGTGTTTGTCTGTACTTACTTGTATCTTGTCTTTGAGTGGTTTAAAGTCACTGACAGCAGCTCTGTTCTTAATATCATCCAGGAGAAAGGCTTTAGTCATTAGTATATTAGGAGTCTATTATTGTATATTAGTAAGCTAATTAGTATATTAAGCCATATCAACTGAACAGACAATATCACAGAAACAAAAATCGCTATAACGTAAAGAAAACAACACAAATAAAAATAATGAGAGAGATCAAGGGAAATAAGTTATAATAAATCAATCCACAGAATGTCAGGTACAAATCATCTAGACAGTTAGAATTGACATTTTGAGACAATAATGTAGAATCTATGTTGCAGTAAATCGAGTTGACTGTAAAAATAAATATATTCAATGGAAGCAATGCATTACAATAGTCTGACTGACCTCATTATAATCCTTTATTAGTTTATTAGCAACACCTCGTGATGTCACAGTATCATAATCATTTAAGATTTCAACAAGCCATGGAAATATTGATCCATCAAAAGTAATGGCATCTTTCAACTTATCAAGGAGTTTATCCATTCTTTGGTCTTCAGGTAGCCCAGTCATAGTGTCATTGACTATACTTCTTCTTTTGTCATTGGTGATAATTTTTCTTTCCTCCATCTTGTCAGCCAAGTACTTCAAATCAATATGCTTTCGTAACAGAGCATTGTTTTTAGACAAAACTTCAGTTGCAGCTATAAATAAATAAATTTTTTTACAAAATAAATATAAGCGCTACTGTTATTTTTGAACACAAAAAAATTATTACAATTTAAAGTTATACAAAAATTTTAAGGTCCACCACAGATACTTGAGCATCAGGGTTTATTATAGCTATGGTTTAAATAGTTTTAGAATTTATCATGGCAAGAGAGGTTTAGCATGGCAAGAGATGATGATGATAGTCCCCTACATGTATTTCAGATGCCTATTAC